GAAAGAGAAAGAGAAAGAGAAAGAGAAAGAGAAAGAGAAAGAGAAAGGGAAAGATCAAACTCAAAATACAGAAAACGGATAGAGGTAGGCAGAGATTAAGACAAATAGTCAAATTCAAGAATAAAACTGAAGAACAGCATGTTATATATCATATTATAATGATCACCTTACTTCACCCCCAATCACCCCAGTCCATCCCAACTCGCCCGAACTGACTTCACTTCAACTCATCTGACCACAACTGACCTGATCCCATCTTATAATAGATCAATTTAACTCACCTAACCACACCTCAGCTCACATCGACTCACCCCACTTCAACTCACCTCACCCCAACTGACTTCATCCAATCTTACTTTACTTTGGATCAACTTAACTCACCTCACCTCACTTCAATCACTGGTTAATATTGTACTTATAGATATCATGTTCAATCAGCCGAAAATAATAATAATAAATATGTATGTATTTAAACTAAACAATTTATTACAAGAAATAAACATAAAGCTCGTGAAAAAAATTAAACTAAACGTTGGTATGAACGAGTATATTAGCCGCGTTCTTTCCGGAATTTTCTCTATTAAGTTTTACTTCTGCCGCGAGTAGGAACTACGCGCACTCCGATTTTATCCCTTTCTCAAATATACTTCCATAGATAATGTGAAGTCGAATCACGTAAAATAATTGTACCCGCCGATATTTTCACAAGATAGCTTTTACAAACATTATTTCTTTGTAGCGCCTGAGACAAAAGTCACAAACATCAGAAAAACATCTTAACAACAGCATCCGCAGATGTGCATCTTGCAATACACACAGCTCCTTACTTTACCTAGTATGTACCTCCAACCAGAAGCATTGCCAATGAATTTTTTACTTGGCTGGATAATTTACAAGTCACGTGAATGAAATCGAAACAAAATGTGCATAAATTGTAAGAGACATATGTATGTACATAGGTGCGCACACACTCCGCCATACTAATACATTATCACAGCGATAAATTGTAAATGCAATGTGACTGAGAAGGTCGCCTGGCGGCGGAAACTTTCGACGACAAAGTGGAAGCAAAATCCTGGTCCCAATTGGCTGTTGCACATCTTTAGATCTACTTCTCTATACGCTGAATGCTCCAAGAAGGCGAGCGACGCCTGCGATGCAGCGTATTTAATATTAATGAGTTGTATTGCACAAACAAAACATGCAACAGACTTGAGCGCACTCGTGTGAGTGTAAGAGAGCTTCCATCCAGCAGGAATACTTAAATAGGCAAGCATTTAGTCACAGAGTTACTTATACATACATACATATATGGATGGGTGTACTTGTACGTAAATATATACATATGTATGTGTTTATATTGAAGTGCTACAACGATATGCTGCACATAATAGGCATAGCAAAAAAGCGTGGCATTAAAAAGTTGAAGCTAAAAAGGCAAGCAAGCAAGCATGGCAAAAAATTGACTGAGTGCAAGAAAATTGTTGCATTTTGCCGTGACTATGCATGCATATGCATTCGCAGTCATGTATATGGATATTAGCAGATATATGTATGTATGCGCATATGTAAGTTCGTTTGACGACAAGGCAAGGATCTGTCTACGCGTTTTGTATGCTTGTCATCATCTCAGATGCGTTTAGTTGGCTTACAACAGTGATACCTAAAGGTATGACTAAGTTATTTTTCCTGCATACATAAATAGGAATAAATTTAGAGTCAAAAAAAGAAAATACTTAAATAAGTAAACACTGTAAAATTTCATGTATACCCTGCATATACCCTTAATGAAATTTAAGGAAAAAATTACTTTAAACTATTTAAACTTAAATTAATTGAAGCTTTTTGATCTCGAAGTTATATATGCATCCATTTTTATAAAGATACAGATGCACCGATTTAACACACAA